AAAAAACAAAAGTAAAGAAAAGAAGAAACGTAAGACATCAGCTTACTTTGATGTAAAGAAGAGGAAAGAAACTGCTAGACTGAGGACTTCCTGGAGGCAGGAATCCTGTCTCTAATGCCTCTTCCTTAGAGCACTACATTTGCCACCTCTCTTCTAGCCAAGAGTAGCCACTTGACTCAGTTCTCACCAATAGGAGGTGAGTGCAAGAATGTGCAACTTCTGCCTCACTTGCTTACAAAAAATTTGTTCAGACTTCTCTACTATTTTCTTTTATAGTAACAGCTTTAAGGCTGGGCATGGTGGCTGATGCCTGTAATCCCAACACCCTAGGAGGCCCAGGTGAGTGGATCAACTGAGCTCACAAGTTCAAGACCAGCCTGAGCCAGATCAAGACCTCATTTCTAAAAACAGCCAAGCATTGTGGCCAATCCTGTAGTCTCAGCTACTTGGGAGGCTGAGGCAAGAGAGTCGCTTAAGCCCAAGAGTTTGAGGTTGCTTTGAGCTGTGATGTCACAGCACTCTACTGAGGGCAACAAAGTGAGACTGTCTGACAAATAAATTAAATTAAATACAGCTTTAGTATGAAATTCATCCTTTTTTTTTTTTTTGTAAAGACAGAGTCTCATTATCGCCCTTGGTAGAGTGCCATGGCGTCACAGCTCACGGCAACCTTCAATTTCTGGGCTTAGGCGATTCTCTTGCCTCAGCCTCCCAAGCAGCTGGGACCACAGGCATCTGCTACAATCCCCGGCTATTTTCTTATTGTAGTTCGGCCAGGGCCAGGTTTGAACTCGCCACCCTCCATGTATGGGGCCAGCGCCCTACTCACTGAGCCACAGGCGCCACCCGAAATTCATCCTTTTAAAGTATAAATTCAGTATTTTTAATATATTCACAGAGTTGTACAACCATCACCACCAACCTCAGAACATTTTCACCACCCCACAAAGAAATCCCATGCCCATTAGCAGACATTTTCCATTCTCCCTTCCTCCAACTCTACGCAAACATTAAGCTACTTTCTATGTCCATGGATTTGCCTGTTCTGGACATTTCATATAAAAAGGAGTCTTTTATGTCTCTGGCTCCTTTCAATTAGTATAATATTTTTAAGATTCATTCATGTTGTAGCAGGTATCAGTATTTTATTTCTTTTTATGGCTAAATAATATCTCATTATGTGAATGTACTGCATTTTCCTTATCCATTCATCAGCTGATGGATCTTTGGGTTGTTTCCACTTTTTGGTTATGAGGAATAATGCTGCTTTAAACAATAGGAAAAAGTTTTTGTGTGGACATATGTTTTCAGTTGTTCTAGGTATACTCCTAGATTTACTTTGAAATCTCTCAAGAATTTCCTTTATCGGCTCGGCGCCTATAGCTCAACCGGCTAAGGCGCCAGCCACGTACACCTAAGGTGGTGGGTTTGAATCCCCAGCCCAGACCCGCCAAACAACAATGATGGTTGCAACCAAAAAATAGCCGGGCGTTGTGGCGGGCGCCTGTGGTCCCAGCTACTTGGGAGGCTGAGGCAGGAGACTCGCTTGAGCCCAGGAGTTGGAGGTTGCTGTGAGCTGTAATGCCATGGCACTCTACCCAGGGGGACAGCTTGAGGCTCTGTCTCAAAAAAAAAAAAAAGAATTTCCTTTATCATAAAATTTACCTTTTGCAACAATATTAAGTATTGTATTTTACTCTGGCAGTAGAAATATATACTGAGGCTCTGCACCTGTAGCTCAAGCGGCTAAGGCGCCAGCCACATACACATACACCTCAGTGGCATGTCGTTATTTAATAATTAAAAGGTTTTTTTAATAAAAAGGAAATTACTGCCTGGCCATCCTCTTTCGTTATGGAAAAGGTATATTTCTAGAAGTGGATTTATTTTTTGGTAATATGGTAACTTTAAACTTTTAAGGAATTGTCAAACTGTTTTCCAAAGTAGCTGCACCATGTAACATTCCCACCACCAGTGTAGGAAGGCTACAATTCCACATTCTTGTCAACATTTGTTATTAATTTATTTATTTTCCCCTTCCAAAATTTATTTTTAATTTAATTTTTTGTTTTGCATTTTTGACACATTTTATTCAGATAACAGTCTTAACTGTGAGCTGTGCAAAGCTACCAGTTTGAGCACTACTGACTATTTTTTTCAGGCTTTGAAAAGCTCTAGGGATCTCAGCAGAGACTGGAGGAACTAGCTCCACCTTGGCTGTAGTACAAAATGTGGCCAATGGAGGCTTCGATTACATCACAGCAGGGTTGACCAGCTCTGGAGCCTTCTCTTCGAGGTTACAGACAAATTGAGCCATGGTGCTAGGATGGTAAGTTTTGGGAGTTTTTGGGTTTTTTTTGGTTTTGTTTAAGAGATGGGGTCTCAAACTACTGGTCTCAAGTGATCCTCTTTGAGTAATTGAGCCAAATGTGTTGGCTAGGCGCCTGTGGCTCAAGTGGCTAAGGCACCAGCCACATACACCTGAGCTGGCAGGTTCGAATCCAGCCTGGGTCCACCAAATGACAATGACGGCCAAAAAACCGCCAGGTGTTGTGGCGGGCACCTATGGTCCCAGCTACTTGGGAGGTAGAGGCAGGAAATTCGCTTAAGAGGCAGGAAATTCACTTGAGCCCAGGAGCTGGAGGTTGCTGTGAGCTGTGATACCACAGCACTCTACCCAGGGTGACGGCTTGAGGCTCAGGGAAAAAAAAAAGAAAGATTACAAATATGAGCTACTGGACCTGGCCACACTTCTTAATTTTATTATCGCCATCCTACTGGGTGTTGAGTGGTATTTCATTTCCCTAATGACTAATGATGTTGAGCATCTTTTCATGTTCTCTCATTTTTCTAGAGATAGGGTCTCGATCTGGCACCCAGGCTGGATTGCAGTGGCACAATCATAGCTCACTGTAGCCACTAACTCCTGGGCTTAGGAATCCTGCCCCAGCCTCTTGAGACTATAGGCACACACAACCAGGCCCAGCTAATATTTTTAGGCATTTTTTAAGAGACAGGGTCCACTCGCTGTGTTACCAGGGCTGGTCTCAAATTCCTGGCCTCAAGTGATCCTCCAACTCAGTCTCCTGAATGCTGGGATTACAGTTGTGAGCCACCATGCACAACTTTTTTCATATTCTTATTGGCTGTTTGTATATTTTCTTTGGAGAAATATCTGTTCAAATATTTTGCTCATTTTGAAATAGGGTTACTTGTATTTTTATCATCTGTACTATTTTTGAAACTGTGAATCAATAATTGTTTTTCTTTTTTTTTCTTAATGTGAGGTTCCTCAGTGGCATGTAGTTATTTAATAATTAAAAGTTTTTTTTTTTTAACAAAAAGGAAATTACGGCTCAGCACCTATGGCTCAAGTGGTTAAGGTGCCAGCCACATACACTTAAGGTGGCGGGTTCGAATCCAGCCCGGGGCCGCCAAACAACAATGACAGCTGCAACCAAAAATAGCCAGGTGTTGTGGCCGGCGCCTGTGGTCCCAGCTACTTGGGAGGCGGAGGCAGGAGACTCGCTTGAGCCCAGGAGTTGGAGGTTTCTGTGAGCTGTGATGCCATGGCACTCTACCAGGGGGGCAGCTTGAGGCTCTGTCTC